TAATTACTGGAGTTATTACCCTTGGTTTCATTAATGCGATGCATGCGTTCCATGATGTTGTATTGCACTCATTGATCTACCAGTTATGTTGAATGATTTCTCTTTTAATATCAATTACTCACAAATACTTCATATATTTCAATCATACAAACAACTGCTCATTCAATGTGTGACGGGCGTATTATATACCGCTCGCGGTAACCTTGTTTACCTCTAATGTCGCCACAATAATGGAAACGGGTCATTTTAGGCAATGTCAACTGGCAACAATTAGTCATTAGCGATGGAGTGTTACACCAAATATTTAAGTTTACAAAAATGTCATCTCAAACAAAATGAAAAAAAATCCCATATCAAATATTTAATGATCATTTCAGAATATGAAATTCAAGTAGCCTGTCTAAAGTTAATGGTGTGAGCTGCAAGATTTGAGTGCCACTTAAATTAATTGTTTCATACTTTGTTTCCAGATACGAGCATCATTTCAGGTGTTCAACTACTTATCAGAACAATGTTTTACAAAATGTGTGATTCGTCTCGACAATGACACCTTAACAAACAGAGAGGTAAGTCTACTCTTTTTAGTGCGTTATAAATTAAAAATACTTATATCGAATTTATATATCATTTATTTTATTTTATATGATTTCTATCATACCGGTATACAGTGGAGAGATGCACTATCTACAAAAGCGGAATTGCTTTGTTATTCTGCCATACACAGTTATCAGGGAATCAACCCCTAAGAACTGAGTACCAAGCAAAAATCGCATAAATGCATGTGGCAGTTAATAGAGCTAATGAAATATTCATTTATATTTAAACGCTATATCGTATTATGTAAAATTTGTGGTAAATCTACTCCTGATATTGTTTTTCATTTTCTTCTTGAGTGTCTGAAATTGTTTGAAACGCGTGACTTAATGATGGATGGTGTGGTGAATGCTTTAGAAGTTCCCTCCTATAAAAACCAATGCAGCTTCTTATTAGGAGATCGTGTGAATATACTACTAGAAGACTACGAGTGGGAAAATATGATGATCAATATGTCAATTAATCTAGAAAGAATGGTGTGTGTGATTGACACGTTATTGTAACTCTCTTCCTTTTTCTATTGATGAACGCTATCTTTATGTAATTTGAAATGTAAACATATATGTATGTATTGATTGACTTTATTCTCTTGTAAAAGAGGAAATAAAGAATGTCTGTCTATATCAGGGTACTGTATATTACATTGTTCTTTTACTGGCATGTCAACTTCCTGTCCTATTTCCCAATACCAGTGGCATATGTCTTCTGTACAATCTCTCAAACAGTGTGTTCTGAAATTATAATTATAGCCAAGGATATATGATTATCTTTAAAACATCCCTGCTAAGCATTCCACAAAAAAGTATTTTCTTGGTCAATAGTACAAATCCAATCATGGTACACTTAGGTGATGTAATTTTACAAGAGCTGTCCATCTTCCGATAATTTATTTATCTGGTACTTTATAATAATTTAAAGCATTATACCGTCCATTTATAGGTACTATATAAATATGCGATGTACAAAATTATGCTCCATTCATGATGTTATAATTATTTGGTATTTCACATCACTGATGTATCAATTATACGTTACTGTGTATATGCTTATGAGCCGTAAGGCTTCAAGTTGAATAAACAAACAAATCCAATCTGTAAGTTGATAAATACATTGCCTTTTATGTTTTCAGCAATATTTCACCATCTAAAAAATACAAAATATTGTTTCTAATTTCCCAGGATTGAAGTTTTGAATAAAATGTGTAGCCTTAATGTTTAGACACCTTTTCCATTTTGCTGTTGTATTGTATACGCTTGGAACTCTCGTGTAGTTCGATTGATCGAAGTCCCTGGATCTTTTTATCTCCATCAATATTAATGTTCATTTATTTTATCTTAAGTGCCACTGAAAGTCCTAAAATGGATGAACTTGCCATTTGATGCAGTGAAATATTGTTACATTTTCTGTATAGTTCATTAGATATTTAAAAATGTGAATCAAAAGAGATATGTGCCACAATAATAAATACAACTTCAGTTTTGGACCGAGCAAGGTTCCATGTATAATGAAAGTAAGTGTTATAAGTTTAATATTGACTACAACAACTTTCCTCTGCCATATTACAATGTACATATTATAAATGATATAATAGCATTATTTGAGCCAGGAAAAAGCAAAATCGGGTCATTGTTTAATATTTCAATTATTTTGTCTTTTACAGAAAACGTGTGTGGAAAAATGTTATGAGAAAAACATGTCATATCTGACGAATTTTAAGAAGTTTTGGACAACTAATAATGATGAACATGCCGCCAGAGAAACACCTCAGGACGATGGGAGATAACTCCTCCTGGAATGAAGCAATTCGAACTCGCGTGTTTGTTATGTCTGTTATTTGTTACATGTAATTCATTAAATAGCTATGAATGGACATTACATGTTTATGGCTTTTATATACATGAACATGGAAGATTATATTTCATGCAGAGAGACCTGATCAGTTTCTTTCTTATTTTACAGTATGTACATGTACAATGCAATAACTTGTCACAGTTTAGCAATAAATATAACTGCACTAATATATGCTATTTGACCTATCTTGATGTGAAGAGAGTAATTATATAATACCACAGTCAGTTGAGTGAAAACAACAGAAAATAATCATGAAAATACATACAAAAAATCCTGGTTCTGATTGGTTACTAGTCACTTGTTTAAGAGGCCGTTCGTGAGACTCCCGGCGGTCCTTTTTCTAAATTCGGTTTTTGTTTTTTTTCTTGTGTAATTTATTTATATTTTTTATTTTCCTTTGGCTAAATCCAGTGTCTGTAGTAATACATTGTTTTAGACGTTACCTACTGTAACAAATTCAGCTTCGTTTGCTCATTACGTCGGCCTAGATACCCCGGGTGGTCTCAAATTTCTCCTACAAGTTATACGTGCACGGAGTTAGATCCAAGTTGTTACTCGTTTCTTATAGGAAATTTCTCATACGATTTAATAGTTTGAATCTCAAGACATGAGCTTGATTATTTCGGAAAATGTTGTGGACAGAAAGTGTGGATGCTTTTGGTGAGTCGCGGAAATGATAGTCAAAACGGTCTAAACAAATATTGATGCACTGTACACTGAAAACCTAGGCCATGTACTAGGGCAGTCTCTATGGACATCCAAGACAAAATAGGAAATTACATTGTTAGAAAGGAAAACTTCAAGGTTTCGTATTCCTGAAATCCAGTCAAGAAAAATATCTGATTTACTCCATTGTACCTATAATACATACACATTTAACATATTAACCCAGTGTATGATATATATTAACATTCTCAGTCCTTATATAGAATGTACTACCGGAAGAAAAAAACATTTGGCTTTGAACGCAATTGAAATGGTGTCATTTTGGTGCTTTTCCTTTCGCTTCGTATGACATGAAACTCTTAGAAGCAAATATTAAGATGACGTTAGAATGTTCTAAGAATGTCGTCAATATATATTTAAAATTTTCTTTATTCAATTTTTAGATAAACCTATCGACTTAAAATGATGTAATCCACTGACAGCAATAACAGCCTATATAACTGTCGCAGCGACCATTACACAAGTCCACAAAGCGACTCCAGCAGTTGTATGTTGGTATTGGCATGGTACTACTCCTATTGAGAGGTATAAAGCTACAAAATGTAGCAATACTGGGGGCAACAGGTCAATGTTGGTTTAATGTCTCCTTAGTAGACGAAACCCCCTGATTCACAGGGACCTGAGAATGTGTTACAACTATATTTGGACCTAAACTAACGTGTTCAGAGTTATTTTACATGTTTCATGGGTTTATATCGACTTTCGGTAAAAATGACACCCCCAATGATCATATATGTAAAATTACTCTGAACACCATAGTTTAGGTCCAAATATAGCGGTCACAAATTAGCATGTCCCTGTGCCCTGATTCCGTAGGGCTCCCCACATTATTCGCTTTTTACGACTTGCAGTGGGAACAGAAGGCATATCCTTTTCGGACCTGAATCGGAAGTGGTGATAGGACGGCATTGGCTGGCCATTATTGATACAGTACTCGGAGTGAGATAGTTCGAAATGTTACGAAAAAGGGGTTGGTTGCATATTGAGCGATTAAAACTCCATTTACTGGAAGAGGAAAGCTGATTGGAAGATATAAACATGTATTAAACTATATCTGCGAACCATAGGTTTTTCATTTTGCCCATGATGTAGAGAAGGTACAACGATTATTTTAACGTTTCACTTACTTATGAGCTGGCTTTATTACAAACAACGTGGTGCACGTGCTCTTAACTTGGTAGATTGTCAATTTCGAATTATTTAATGTCAAAAACAAAAAAAGTAAGCAACTGGCTTTACATTCGAATGAACAGTAATTAAGCACTCTATATTAATAAATTAGTATTCACCAGTGATCATTTGTGTCAATTGTAAATGTTTTTGTTAATAAGACAGAAGGTAAAAACCAATAAACTAGTAAATTAGGGTTCATCGGTCACGACTTACATATTCTAATTCAAATTCAAATTGTTCTATTACTTTAGGCATTACGGTCAAAAGTTCAGATACACAATACCAAAGACGAATATATTACAAACGTCTCTGATAATGCATATTAAGACGTAACGAAATTGCAACAGTTTAAACAAATTAAAGTCGATTTAGTTAGCACTGATCAACTGCCTAGCTTCATTTAAGAAATGCTCATTCAACGGAAAAATCATAACTGAAATCAACATGAACGTCTACTGTACATGTCGCCTAAGTATATACATTGACTCAGAGACGTGTACTTAATAATAAACGTCTCTGCTTGACTATATGAATAATGAGCAAGCATCATCATCAATCTTTATTTCCCCCGATATGGAGATAAATGAAGAATATGCATTGCTACAATTGAACTATATGACCTCATTGTTCGTATATCATACTGTATTATATAAGTTCTGTCTGCGTCAAACGCCGATGGACACGCCCACAAATAAGATGACCCAGATCTTGATGCCTCACCTAGATGTTTGTCATCACCAGCGGTAAGCGCTTCCTCCGAGACACAGCTAGTTACGCATGCGTTACTTTCAGTTGGAGAGGAAAACAGAAAATGACGAAAGATGGAAAGGGAAAACGTTAGGTGAGTGTGAAATATGCCTAATTATTGATCCTATCTACAAAACATTGAAATATTCACATTTACATTGACACTTGTTAGAAATTTCGACTGTGTTCTGAATCAGCGGCGCTTTTTCGGAGCAGACAGCATAAGTCAACCACGACTGTTGACAGACGATTTCACAGTCACAAGCATGCCATGACGTGTGACAATCACTCCACTTCGAAACGAATATAAATATAGACCTGACACCTATGACCATGTCATCAACTTGACAGTTCTTTGATCGGACAACATAGACCTAACGTTACAATTTCAATATTTGATTCCTGAAGAACTAGGGTACAAGCATTAATTTACATCACGAAAAGCAGTAGATGGGGAAAATAATAATTATTCTTCTTCTTTATACGAGGGCTCCATCAGTTTGATGATTATGCCATCGGGGGTCCTATTGTAGAGGCGTGAAGGGGTTATTTATAGTGATTAGGGGTGGGGGTTTTTTGTTGGTTTTTTTGTGATTTTTTTGTGCAAGGTATAGATAAAAAGTTAAAATCTGGTGTAAGTACTAGTGTGTGATGAGGGCTTCAAGGGCTGTGTAGGGTAAGTGTGCCTTGAAGTCCTCTAGTGTTGTGCATTGGACTGCTGCTAAGGGGAGGAGATTCCATTGTGTTACTGTGTGTGGGAAGAATGAGTATTTGTAGGTGTCCTTTGTAGCAGATATGTGTTTGTATGCGTACGGGTGTACCTGTCTGGTGCGGGGGTCTACAGGTGTGAGTATATGTGTTGGGTTTAAAGCTACGATTCTGTGTATAATTTTGTAAAAAAGGATAATTCTAGTGTATAAGCGTCGTGTTTGTAGTGTTGGCCATTGAAGTGTGTGGATCATGTCTGTTACGGAACTAGTGTTGTGGTATCTGTTTTGTACGTAGCGTGCTGCTCTTCGTTGTGTTTTTTCTATTTGTTTAATTTGGTTTGTGTTGTGTGAATCCCAAATGGAAGAGCAGTATTCAAGTTTAGGCCTAACTAGTGCTTTGTATGTATGTCCTTTTTATGTGGTGAGTTTATTTTCAGGTTGCGTTTGAGAAAACCTAGGGACCTATTGGCATTGGCTGTGATATTGTTTATGTGTTTGTCCCATCGTAGGTTGTTTTGTAGTGTTAGTCCTAAGTATTTGCTTGTTTTTACTTTGTGTAATGTGTGGTTGTGGAGTTTGTAATCATGGTGTATTTTGTTGCGTTTCAGTGTAATGTTAAGCATGTTACATTTGTTAGAACACATCACGCGCATGGATAATTTAAAAATATGCACTTACTAATAAAGTAAGAGTATTGATAAAGTTCAAAGGTTAACTGTTATTTGAAAAACTTTCGCTGACATCTTTTGTGAATGTTTGAAGCCAAATTAAAAATATATACCGTGTATTCCAAATATGTTTTCACATTCATGCAAAATCAGTATTATATGCAGGGGTCGACACTAACACTACAGTAGTAGCACGGAATTAGATTAGATATTTAAGTCTGTGGTGGTGGTAGTAGTCAGCTAAGCTTAGTCCTGGGCCCGTATTCATGAAACCAATCTCATGCTCAAGAATGGATTTTGTGCTCAAGCTGAATTTCTTGTTCCCGTGATAAATTAATCAAAGGTCTTATTTTGTTAATGATTTGGAAAACCATTTAGGAGACTTAAAGCCGAAAACTGTTTTTAATGTTTACAATGATTTTTTGATTGTTTGACATGATTAAAGCTTGTTACAAGAAAGTTAGTTTGAGGCCAGAATCCATGCTTGAGCTTGAAAATGGTTTCATGAATACAGGCCCTGGACTAGTAGTAGTAGATTTCAGCAAGGACTAATGAATCACCTTACCTAACTGGTCCTTTGGACTTGTGAAAAATCTGATTATAAAATAAGAATAATCCTTTCTAAAATTTAGAAAAAAGCTTAAAATATGATAATTGTCAAAATTTTCCTGAAACTTTACCATATTTTTGTGACAGTAGTTATTTTAAATCCCCTACAGTTGATTACTTTTGATGTTTCGTGCTATAGATCGTGATGTTTCTTTATCAGGAAATCTTGGACTAGTTGCATTGACGGAGGACTAGTAAATAATCAATTCAACTAGTCCTGTGGACTACCAAGCAAAAAAAGCTAGTGTCTAACCCTGTTAAAAATGGGTATTTACAGAGGAGAGAATGATCATGTATTGAACAAAAAAGAAGATACTGCAAGATGTTGAAAAAAATTCTGCTTGCCCAACCTACAATTTCATTGTAAATTTCAAAATTGTTATCTTTCCCTGGAGACATTTTTTTTTCTGTCAGGCATTTGACTAGTGAAATTGTACACACAGGGTATATTAGTAGTTTATATCAGAGGAAGTCACCTTGAGAAAGATTAAAGCATAGGATCAGTCTTACTTGAGTCCTGTTGGCTAGATCTATTGCACTACAATAATGTTGTCATTCTCAGGTAATATTGTGCAACCCCCATTCAGGAACTCGTGAGTAGTTCATTCAAGACAAGTAAATACGTTGTATATCAAGTACACATGTCTGACATTATGACAAATTACTGTTCTGAAGATATGCCTGATCCAAACTGGCCTGTGGGAATCACAAAATCGGAGCAATCCTTGTCCAAGCCATGACCAGTAGTATTGTAGTTCAAATGGAAGTTGTGCTCCAAAGGCGTGGCAAAGTGACAGGAAAATTGTGGTAATACTGGTATATTCAAAACCTAGTAGATAAGTTGATATAAATAGAGTGGAGGTACATGAACCTCTTTTAGCATTAAAGAATCGATAATTAAACCAAGGATTCAATGATAAATAAAAAGTAAATAAAATATATAGATCTATAGATCTCCTTGAATTTTGTGGGAATAAGGGGCAGGATCCCCGGACTAGACAAGAGAAATAAGAGCAAATAGGTATATATAGCCATGAAGAAGTATTTTTACTTTCAGATTGAATCAAAATCCAAAGTGTCCCCTGAAATACGTTAAAAAAGAAAAATCAATTGCACCAGATTTTAATCAACACATATATATATTCATGTTAATGAAAAAATCATTTTCAATATTAAAGAGTCATTAAGAAATCTGAGACGGCACTATGTCAGCATATGCATGATCTCAATTCTGTGGTAATTTTTTTGTTTTGTTTAGTTTAGCAGAAGTGTAGTGATTTTGTATGGCATACTGTTTCGGTACAATGCAATTTTATTACCGATATTTGAATCATTTCTAAAGGGAACATGGACTAACAATATAAAATTCTAATTACAATATAGTAACACATAAACAGTTATTACATTTCTCGAGACAATTATTTGATATTGAACTAATTTAAATGCTCACCATTAGGGATTTGAATTGATAACTCTACTCGATTTTTACACAGGGCAATCAGCAATTCTGTGGTTTATTTATACGATTGTTTATGCATACATATTGTATGTACAATCGTATATATAAATAATAGAACTCCGTCTATTTACTTGTGAATTATGTTTGTTTTATGCCTCATATGCTGAAGTTCTTCAGGTCTAGACCTGTACAGGACCACATTTTCTTCAGGATATCATTATAGCTGACTTAAATTGATGTTAGAAATGCACTTGTTTGCATAAAATTTATCACCCAGTTATATAGAATTATATAGTCATGATCCAATCAGTACATGTAACTAGCTCCCTATTAAAAACACTTCTGTTTAGATCATTTAATTTTCCTCATGGGAGTTCGTTGTAGAGGAGATACGCTTTTTATTTGTACATTCGTACATATTTTGCACATTATTTCATCTCTAGCAACCTCATCCCTGTAATGATCTTGATCAACCTCATCCCTGTAAGGATCTTGATCAACCTCATCCCTGTAACGATCTTGATCAACCTCATCCCTGTAACGATCTTGATCAACCTCATCCCTGTAACAATCTTGATCAACCTCATTAACCTCATCCCTGTAACGATCTTGATCAAACTGCAGAATCAGATATGGGTCAAATATGAGAACAGACTTGCAAATTAATAAGTTTATGTTGCAAGGTCACTAGTACTGTGTGTATGTTACTATAAATAGCAAATATAATGTATCATCCTTGCAATTTCATTTCGGATAGCACTTTGATAAAACTTTAGAAATATTGGTTAAATTACCACAGGTAAGTACAAGAATCCGTTAAAGAACCTCACACGTGGGGATTAGAATTGTTTGTGATTCCTAGTTCTATTATGCTAATGGATCAGATTTATGTTTGTGTTGAATTGATAATAAGGGGAAGGACATGGATGAGCAGTATAATATTGTTGTACTTACATGTATGAGCCTGTCAAGTCATCCAAAATTGAGCTTGCAATTTGAAACAACAACATGTATGTATATAAATATGTAGTGTAATTGCTTTCAAGGTGATGAACCAATTATAGTATATAACTTAAGTCAGCCGAGTTGAATTTAAAGACCACTGTACTACTGCTAGAGCAATTATAAATAGTAGTTCTATTGAAATCAGTTTTCTCCCCTTTCTTTAGATTACCAGCAAGTTTAATTTAAATGCTAACCTGTATAGAGGGACAGGCCTAGAGATAGCAACCTGTTTACACATGTTGTGTAACATTATATAGTTACCAGATAAACTGGAGCTGCACAAGCTTTGTGATTAAGCATTTTTTCCAGGGCTATTGAAATTACACTGGTTGTTTGAGGCAAGTGTTATACAGAATGTTCAATATTTTCAACTCTTGCGTTTTAAATGGTCAAAGTATACATGGCACTGCCAGGAACTATTGTATGTTATATTACTTTTGAATGTTCACTGTTATAGGACACCATTTATAATGTTCCAGACCACTGCACCAGTGCCTTGAATAGATGTTGTATTGTTGAAAATCTTTCACACAATACTATGTAGAGCAATTTACTTCAATGTAGAACCAACTGATGGTACTGTATAGATGCATATATAATGCTTTTATTTGTGATTTAAATTTATGATTATATATACATGTATGTATGAAGAGATTGAATTATGATTAAGGTAAATTTTAAGTGAAAACATTTTTTTGTGAAAGGTATTTCATTATCACAATATGTGCAAGTTAATGTAAAGCTGATTTCATGTAAACACTTGGTGTGACCATGGTGCTATGTTAAATTGTTAATTGTACCCGATGTTCTGACACATGTAAACACGATAGCTGACTAGTGAGCCGTGAATTATACTTCAATGTGTGTTTCTATGTTTTGCAGGTAGAGTGGACAATGAGGGAAAACAAGGACACCATTAGTAAAGCTTGACTTGGCACATTGAGTAGTAACCTGTGGAGTTGTATACGCTGAATAACCTATAACAAACAATGAAGGAACTTCAGCAGATGCAGCGCGAGGCACCGTCCAGAATGATTTCATATTTATTCCACTCAGCTCGAAATGAGAGAAATCTCATGATGATGGTTAGCGTATTGTTACTGATGTATTTTTTTTTCATGGACATAATACTTTATGCTTCATTACAAAATACCAACCTTTTAGACCAGAAGCGTGATGGGCCATACTCACCCTTCCACCCGCTGTCAGTCAAACTTATCATGACTGATCCTGCTAGTCACTACATCATCAACCCAACCACAGAATACTTCGATCAAATTACGCAGTTTAGTAAAATTTTCTATTTCATCACGCCCAATGTTATTAGCACATTTCATCTTTTCCTTGGACTTCTGGCAGCAAAGTTTGTATCGTCAGAATCGCTGAGAAATCGCAGACTTGGTGTGGTGCTGTACGAGATCCGGAGTTGGTTGGATGGATATGACGGAGTGGTGTACCGCAGTCAGTCAGGCAAGAGTTTGTACAAGTCTAACCGCCACACTTTTGGTTATTTGGTGGACTCTGTGTGTGACACAACGGCAGGTTTAGCTTTGTGCTTTGGTTGTTTGTTTTATTTATGGAAATGTCCTCCGACTTCAAAAACGACGACAATTCCAGAAGTTCTGCCTTGGACAAAACCTACTGAAAGCAATGTACAGATTGCTGGTGAAAAGACCAATGGGAAACCAAGCAAAAATATCATGTTTTTTAAAGTGCTATGTTTTGGGCTGATGCTGGCACTGGCTTCTCTGACCTGGGATCGGACAGTAGAATCCTATGCCTCTGTCCTGCAGAAAAGCATGGAAACCACACAGCAAACGGTAAGTATATGTGTATGGGTATTATGATTGTCATTTACACTCTTTGCCTGACAAAGGAAAAAGATGTTTTCCATAGCTTGCAAAATAAGTTTGCGATTCCTGTTTGCGTTCAAAACAAACTTAGCATTTATAATTCATACCAAACTGATGAATCTCATTCGTAATATTGCAGTGGATATGTTTTACAGATATAAATAATATGTAGAGAAAATATTATTGGTCATGTTTAAAAGATGATTTAGAGCGATGATTTTCAATAGGATAGATTAAGTACTGAATGGATGCATGGAGAGATAGATTTTCTTGATGTTACTGTTTTTTATGATTTTTTTTTTTTACTTTTTTTACTTTTTTATGTTTTCCAAAATTTTACGATATAAACATATATATATATATATGAATTAGTAAGTTGTCTGCCAGCCTTATTTAGAAAGCACTGAAGAGAAAAATACAGATTTTGGTTGATACACTGATCAAGGGAGGTCCAAACTTTAACAGTGATTTGCTGTTCTTCTCAAGAATAAAGCACATTGATCAGTCACTTTGACCGAGAGTCTTAGTTGAATGTTATCCTATAATTTACATGTTGCCTATATGATACACCATTGTAAAGCTTTAGGCTTATAAGCTGATGTAATGATCGGTGGTACATTGTATCAATGTGCTAAAAGTAGTAACAGCTCCGGATTAAAAAGTACAAATTCATGATCAATACATGTACAATGTCATGGGCGCCATGGTCACTGGTATGGAAAGCCATATTTGGTCATATTGCATATACAGTAAATTGGGTATCATTTTCACAGGTTCTGTATTCATATAAGGTATCCATACAGATAATTCCCAGCCAGCTGCATATTATGCTGCGGTTCTGAAATATAACACTTATATATATGTACAATTGTATTAATTTAACATACATACATGTATATATATAGGGAAATTAAGAGAAGCCTGCAAATATAAAATCGCCAATGAACCAATGCCTTGATAACACTCCCAAATGAAGTATAGTCGGCTTACTCATCAAACCTTTCTGTGGTCCCTGTTTGGTCAAATAAGTACTTGATACATTCATATCGAACAGAGTTTATGGGTACGTAGGTTAACTATATTGAAGAGTTTCACTTGCTGATAATGTTAAAAAAATATACAAGGGTTTTTGTTGAAGTTATTAATGAGTTCTTTTATAAGGAATATTTTTGCAAAAAAAATCACTTCTAAATCTAAAACTGTCCGCTTACATTCCGCTTACATTGCATGAAAGTCGTTTTAATCAGTGGTGGTCATGTGACAATCATATGTCTATTGTCTCATGATCATGATCACATCATTCTGATTTATAACAAAATCATGGACCATGGGGTAATAGGGTCCATATATATGTGCCATGCCCTGTGTTTACACCTATATACTGTTGATAGCATTTCGGACACTATGGGCCACATTTTCTTTGTCTTTCTAACCCCAGACCTTCACCTTTGTCTCATTGAGATCAGTCTTATTGTAAGAACTTCCTGAAGAAGTTAGACAGTTAACAGTGGAATATGTTTAGTTATTTCTGTGTGACTGAGAAACATTTTGAATCGGAGGGGATGTACAGTGTCCACTATAGCCCAGTCATATCAGTGCCAGGGACTAGTAGATGTTTTGTTGGGCTCATTCCAGATTTAGTTGCATTCGTAACAGATTTCAGTCAAAAGTTTTAAAGTGTTAGGATTCAATACTTGTTTGATCCTATATATTGACATAAGAGCTTGAGGACATTAGGTCTTTCTTTACATTGTGTACATGGACCTGAGGGTTTATTTACATATGCTGAGTGATTTCACCTTGCATTTAATCTACTATATTCATGTACTGTGTGACAAACCTTATAAGCACTTCACATTCAATGAGCATTTGAATGAAGTTGAAGTACACCTGTACTAACATTTCAAGAGTCACGGTCTAATTGTGATGCACATGTGTTTGTATATAAAATATAACATGTTCGTTTCTTAAATGTTTTTAAAGAGAATTAACAGATGTTAATTAACCATTGGTTTCAAAAGCTAGCTTCTAAAATATCTTGAGTCCATATTAGAATATTTGTGTGTGTTTTGTTGTATGATTTAATAGATAGGTTTAAACACATGTAAAAACAAAATTAGATAAGCATGTGTAATAAGTTTATATGTATGACATGTAGTGAGTGGAGTAGTATGAAATCTGTAAGATGAGTGTTCTGTACAATTATCCATCTTTTCCTGTCATAATTTACAGACTTGTATCTCATTATTTGTCATGCGTATGTGTTTGAAAAATCTGAATAAAATTCTAAATTTAAAAAAATAAAAAAATAAAATAAGCATATGAATATTGACTTGACTATGGCATGTGTATAGTTGGCTTCTCAACCATTGAGATACATAACTCTTAACCTGTTAACAAGTCTCAATATCATATAGGCTGACATAATTATATTTTACCCGAAAAAGGGGTATAAATTTGTGTGGTACACAGAACTTGTTGGACAACCAAAAAAATAATTGTGTTCCACATTGATACATCAATTACTGTAAACATTGTAAGTAAAAAAGTTTTCATAATTTGTTTTTCTGCAGGAGCTCCAGACGACTGTGTTACACTCCACAGGGACATGGGTGATAGTATGGATATGGAGATTATGTGAAGGCCAAGCCATGCTACAGATGATTCTCATAGCCATCTTCATTGATAAAGTGTGGGTAAGTATATATAGAGTGTGATCACAACATACCCAGTGGGGGTTTTGGGCTTCAGGAACGTCTGTATCTGTATAAATATGTGGACTCCTTCTGATAGAAGATAGCTGTCCTAACTCACACTGAAACGTGTCCAGCTACAGCTTGCCTATGTCACGCATCATTACCCCCCC